CCTCGATACATTTATAAGTGTTTTTATAGCTAAAGCCGCCGAAAATCCATGTCATTATATAAAAGACCAGGCGAAGGGCAACTCACATAAGTCCACGGCTGGGTGTTCTATTTTAGGACGAAGGCACAAAGGCCGTAAGTGAGTGAGGAAAGCAGTGATACTCAGTTGTTCTACAGTAAAAAAGTCATTCATGGTCCTTGCTGTAAAGAACTTCTGGAGCGGCACCTGAAAGCAGAGCCAAGCTGCAAGTCCAGAAGTGGGGAATGGGCGGTGAGAAGATATAAGGCAGCCGTCCACAAGAGGAAAAAACACAAGAAAAAATAAGAAACAGTAACAAACGCAACGCACTTCACGGTCGGACCTTCCTAAACAGTGGGAGCCCCATGTTGCACAGTGAAACCTACCTAGAGTTACACCTTCTCAGCACCTTCGAGTGAGAGTCGTATGCGTGGCGCAACACATAGGTGATCCCAGTCGATGTATAATTGTCTGTTTCCTAATAATCCAGTCGGAAAGTGTTTCAGAAAAAGCTCAAGCCCTTGAACGAAGTTGAAATGGTATGCGTCGAGGAGCCACTACGGATGAAATTCCAGATTTTTTTTGTTGCCTCCTAAACCGAAATTCTTTCAATAGGGAAGTCTATGGTTGTCCCCAATCCACATAATTGCAACTTAGAATCTCTTCTAATTTTCTACTATGCCCATTTTCTTCGCAATTGCGAATGATCGTGCTGCCATTAGTTGCTTTTAGACGACTCCAGAACAGAGTACTAGCATGTCATCAAAAGCAACTGAAGGAAATTCTGTACCACAAAGCCACAGACTTCGCTTGCCAGGAAAATCGTCAGGGTCAAGGCTGATCTCATTGCTTGATTACTATATAAATCGAGTAGATCCATCGATATCCCATGTTCAACGTACTTCAATCGGGATGTGTTGCAGTGATCCGTTCGAGCATAAACTTCACAGAAGAACTAGCTCTTCACTTATGTGCCGTTAATATCGGCCCGAATCAGTGGCGAGGGGTCTTAAAAGACGTGGAATGAGACAGACTAAACGCTTCTTACCACTGACTGTTTTTCCACCTGAAAAGGGAACTGTTGGTGGAAAGAGCAGCTGCGAGTGGGCTCATTCCACACCTAACATTGATGCACGTATAACAACTATATTCGTGTATGTGCTAAGGGTGTTATCTAGTCTAGCAATGACTGTCTGCCCGCCATGCGAAATTCCCAGTCAACAAGAAAAAAATTTGTCAATTATGAACGTCAAAAACGAAATTTTCTTATGCACAGAGTGATGAAGTTGCAGTGAGGAATGTGAATGTGCAATGTTCCGCTTCTTCCAAGTTTTCTTTCGATATATGTGGGCAGTGAAATAGTTCTGTGTGAATGCTTTGTATTCCCTCATTGCAATTCAAACGTGTTTTTGTGCACATCATGACCAGTATAATCAGAAATGGCGAAGATTTTTTATTTCAATTTCATAGACTTTACTTTACAAGTTGGATAAGACTAGAGTTCAGTTGTGCATCCACGGTCCCTCGACAAGCTGCACCTTTCCTTCGACGGAGGTCATATAATCAGGAATTTTGTAGTAGTGAATGCCATTTTCGAACTGAAATGATACCGTTCTGGAAATAAAATGAGAAAACCTTCTCCACTGTGAATTCTCAAACGTCATAGCTTTCAGCTACAGAAATAGAACATTAGCAGAACTGGCGCTGTTCGGCGACGGGAGGTGGGGGGCATTTTGCACTTTGTTGCTTCACTAGTTCCGGTTTACAAGTCTCACTCTGGTGAAACCTGTGAACTCTTGTGAAGCTGGAGCAAGCTCGTCAAGCCACCATGGTAAAACCTATCAATTTAGGAATTACTCTCTAGATGGATCGACACGTCGATGGCAAGTAACAAAGTGCGAAATGCCCCCTCCCCCCATCACCAAACTGCCCCGTAGTATTTTTACCGCAAGTGACGTTTTTTGCTGGAGGTTCTCTTCGCAGGATTGCTCCGGAGATCTACCCCGCCCGTCTTGTGCTATCGAAGTAACATTCCCATCTTTTTCTGAATGTCTTTACGCTATAGCCTCTAACTGGCCGTATTATTGTGAACCCATGAACAACATTTCAGTCGCCTCACGGATTCAATGTCAAACTTTCCAAATCCTCCTAGCATATTTGGTCGTCTTACACGGGGTGTGAGACAAGGGTGGGAGAGGGGAAGGGGGACTGTCTGTCACAATTGGACCTGACCATGAGAGCTGCGCACGATTATAGGTTTAGGATAACTGGACGGCAGACCCGTATCAAATATACAATGAAATTTATACTCTAGTTCGCTGCGCATGAAGGGGTGTGTTAGGCAGTATGAGTGTGCCACGGCACCAAATCTATTCTCTGCTAGTTAAGCGGGAATGAGACAACAGATGGTAGAGAACGAGTGGTACAAACGATATGATGCAGCCTTGTCACTTGCTCGCTTCAACAACTGTTGGAGAACGAGCCTGACACCGCGAAAAACTAATCTCGCCTGACATGCCCCTTCGTCTGCAGCGAACTACAGGGGGCCAAAAAAAGTCACTTCGACCGAGTCACATATCAGCAAAGTTTTCGCAGCCCAGAGACAGAGGACGTGGATACGAGTACCAGGGCGGAAGATACCCAAGATGTTCCTCTATAAGCAGGAGCTGGCTCTCGCCCATCACCTTCATGTACACCAAAATATGAAGTCATCTCCAGTCGCAGCCTGACTGGAGAAGACCTTTGGAATTCATGTCACCTCCAAACAGCTGCGAAACTTCTAGTGTGGAGTCACCCATGGATAGCTACCTGGAGACCAGTACTCTCGATCTGGAAGACCTCCATCATCGAGCAGCTCCGACAACGTCGCTACGGTCTAGGACATCATCTTCACGGCAGTCGCCAAGGGAGCGGGTTGATGGTATGGACCGGACGCACCTGGAATGGAAAGACCAATATTTTCTTCGTGGACCCCGGGCTGAAGCTGAGCGCTGGCGGTTACATCGACCAACTCAAGAAGAATATCTTCCCCACATGTCGTCGCCCGTACCTTCTTGGAAACTACTGCTACAGCATTGGGTGCCACCACGTGGAATCGAAGGGCGTTGGAGAAACTCTCGCCTACTTGGAATGGAAGGGGGCTGAGTACCTAAAGAAGATGGAATATCCAAGTAGGTCACCTGACCTGAATCCCCTCAATTACCCGGTTCGGGCGGAGTTCAATAGGGTGGTCTACGGTGGCGGAGAAATCGACTATCTCGCTGATCTCAGGCACCACATCGCGGTCGCGTGCCAGAATCTCTCGATGGCGCTCCTCCAGAAGGCTGTGGCGGAGTGTCATAATAGTATTTAATATGCTCTTTAATATGGTGGTAGAAATGTCCGATCAGAATTTATAAAGTGTAACTTATAGCGCCTCGAAAGTCAATGAAGCAAAGTGACTTTTTTTGGCCCCTCTGTATAGTATACACGAGATGGTGAATGCGTTCGCACCTCAATTTCCCTGACGCATCATTTTTTTTCATCACATCCCATTTCCCTCGAAAGACCGCTTATACATATTAGCCTTTCACGCGACATGATCCCCTAATCAAAGGCATTTTTGTGATCGTTTTCCGTGAACAACAGAGTTCAAATAGCGATGAGTGTGATAGTGAATTCACTCGTGAAATATAAGAGCGACAGTCGACAGCTGCCTTTAACCGAGCTATCCCGCAAATGACTCATCCTACGGCATGCTCGAATGAAGCACGTAGCCAGGCCTAACGCGCCTCAGGGGTTTAGAGAGCACATCAGTGACGACAGTTCAGCATTCCAACATGGAATCTGATTGAAATCATGCACACAGTCTATAACGAAGAATGTCCCTTTTGGTGCGGGGACATTCGTATATTCTCAGCAATGCCGCTTTTGTCCTACCCCCGATGCTAGTATAGTTAGATGCAGTTGCAGTTATAGTGTACCCTAACACTGAAGGAACTTTCAACGCAAATTGGGTGGTTTGTCAAGTTACTGCGGGTAACGACCGTGTTCTACTGCATGTGACTCAAGAACGAGAGTTTCCACCTGAAGTAGCTGTAAGTTTGTATGTAAGTTCGCAGCCAACTCACTCTTGCGGGATTTTCTACATTTTGCAAGATTAAATTGAGGACTGGCCTCCTTAGTTCAGAGTGAAAGGAAACGAAATGCAAATGCACGCCGTCCCCAGAGCTCTATCACATCGCACAGAAATTCAATAATCAGAAATACAATGTGATAGGGGGCGCTACTTCCAAACCCAGGCAACGTGCACATTGGCAGAACATTTCATGGCTAGTTGATTTATGAGACACAGGCACAGAGAAGGCTACTCGAGAGGCGCTCCGCAGCACTACTACGTGGAGTACATGCAGTTTTGCTTGCGCACTGGTTAGCTAAATGTGTATGAGAAATAAAGGTAGGGTTAGAAACAATCTACTTTTTTATTGAATGCAGGAGTTCTCACCTTATGATGCGTTTGAAGATGAGTCTCCAGTAGTAGTGATTGTCGTTGCACTAAAGACCACAGCAAAAATTCAAACAAACAAGAAACAATCATGTATTATGTAACTGTAAGAAAGCAAAACGAATGAGCGGCATGACTGTCGGGAGTGGTCCGTTCACTAAAATGTGCATTGTATGAAAAAGCTCAAGTGAAACACATTGGTCGCCCATTCGTTCGGTTCGCTTAAGGCCTAATCAACCCTTCCCAATTTCCGCAACTTTCTGTAGAACTAACCATCACACGAATATCCACAGTTCGGAAATTCATTCAACGTGAACACGCGGTTCGCCTCGCATGCCCACCACACGTCGGCCGCTCCGGCCCTGCTGCAGCCTGGTGGCGGGATTTGTCCACTGCCACCAAAGGGTGCCGACCAACAGTTCATCAAGTTCTTCACATATCTAGAAGATGAGCTTCATCAATATCCCTTGATATTTTTTTGCTTATTTATTTTTGCAATATATCCGACGTCGCAAACCAGTAATGGTGCCGGTGCCGTAGCACAAGTACCAGGAGCTTCGGCTTAAGCGAAAGTACATTCGTGTTGACGGGTCTAATAGTCTCTGGTGGCGAGATTATAGCCAAAGCTATTCGTGAGAGAAAGTCAAAATCCAGCCTCAGATGCTAAAAGCCGGGGCAACAATGGGGGGAAGCGCCGCTTTGCCGCATCTATACTCCTCACCCCTGAGGGAGGGAGCGAGAGGGAGAGAGAGAGAGAGCAGGCGTGGAATTTGAACATGACATAGAGTGGGTTACTCGTGAGATATTTCACTTTGGGACAACTGCCATCTTGTTGAGTGTTGGACAGAGACATGACCACAAGTGTGTCAAAATGAAAATGTCTCACTAAGCACAGCCATCGCCGTGTTTAGTTGAAGTACGCAAACACGTCTCAGGGATTTCGAGTATATTATATATGTACCAGCCGGCTTCGCCGGCTGACGCCGGCGCGCCTCCTTCTGAGATACAGCACGGCTTCGCCGGGCGGGCGCGGCTCCACCGCGCTTACCTTTCTTCCACACATTTCAATACCCGCCTAGTATCCGGCTTTTCTTTTATCTGAACGGACGATCAACATTATTTATTACGGTGCATGAAATGGTGGAAAGGAGCGTTGATCAAGTGGACAGATGAGAGGAAAGCCGGGTATTAGTCCAGCATTTGACCTACGAATGCAGTAGGCGCGACGGAGCCACGCCCCGCAAGGCCGGGCTGTATCACAGAGGAGGTCTGGAGTGCCTGCCATTTGAAGGATTTCTAACACTGGCCCCTCTCCTCGACGCACGCTCCGCCCACAACGTATGCCTCGCGCTTCTCAACTGATAACCCCTCGCTGATCTTAAACTACTTTTCCCGGTGTCTGGAGTGCTCTGGAAGCGTTTTGCGAATTTTTTAAAATTGGCTTCACCTCTCGCCCACAACGGGAGTGCCTCGCACATTCCTGCATGTGATCACTTCGGGGGCCATAATCCACTTTTTTGCCATCTGTAGTGCTTTAGGACCAAACTACGGTTTTTTATACTGGTACCTCGTGTTCAAATGCACGCCCCGCCCACTGTGGGCGGGCCTCAGCATGCCGCAAACATGGTGGACTCTTGCCAGATGTTCATCTTCGTCATGGAGTTTTCTGCGATCTCTAAACATTTTCGGGAACCGAGTTACCTACCTTTATGGAAAGCGCCGCCCATCTCAAGCACGCCCCGCCCATTTCGGGTGTGTCTCCTCCATTTGCTCTGCCAACCCAATGCTAACCTTATTCCACTTTTTCCCGTCTCCGGGCTGCTTTGTAGCCAAGTTATAGCTTTTTTCAGTGACACGGGAAGCGCCGCCCATCTCAAGAACGCCCCGCCCATTCTCGGGTGTGTCTCCTCTGTTTGGTCGGTCAGCCCTTTGTTAACTTTACTGCACTGTTCCCTCTGGGGACTGCTCTGGAACAGAGTTATGATAACTTTCGACGCACGCCCCGCCCACTGTGGGCGGGGCTTACCATGGGTCATGGGTGCTATTTAGGTTTTGTCCCATGCTCTACCCATCCCCACCATGACCCGACCCCTCCAAGTTCTTCTTCAGGTGCTATGAATTTCGTGACAGACAGACAGACGCACACACACATACACACACGGACATCGCCGATTATATTAGTAGGATGTATATGAATGAAACCCCCCCCCTGCGACCACTAATTGAAGAGTTTCGTGGTGCCTACCCGGGGTATGGGGGGAGAAGCTAACTCTTATTGTGGCCTTTTACCGAGGACATCGTTCTGAAAATCAATCGATCCAGCAGTACACCACAGGAAGGAATGCGGGCGATGATGATCACGAGTGGGACATCTCGTCAGTCATATATCGCAATTCTGCTAAGAATTCAATAGAAAGGCTTTCTCGATTGCTTCACTGCAGGAACATCTTTGTAGGAGAGCGTTTGCAGAGTCAGTAATTACCCTTCTCACCTGAAACTAGAATAAGGGTGTTGTCAGTAGGTGATCTCTACTCGTATTTTACGATAACACCCGCAAAAGAAAGGTTGCAACCTTGGTATACTATGCAATGCTATGCAATACGCGAGCTGTACTCAAATTTTCTCAACATGAAATCACAAAATAGAAGGAAAATATTGAATTACCTGCAACCGTTGGCATAATCATAAGTTATTGACGACATGTAAGTGGAGACGCACTGTTGTAAGTAGTTTTGATAGCCTTCGATAATCAGCTGCGCGCACGCAACACCCTCGTGTATCAGAGCTCAAAAGATGTTGGTTAATTGAGTTGCCTAGTATTTACCTCGTTGGAATACCTGTACTATTTCGGGCATACTTACTCGGACTACATGCTTACTTCTTAGGACTAGCTTATTCACCAATAGGCCAGTACAATTTTTGGCTCTCATATTTCAAAATGAATTCATTATTAGGTTTATTTATATAAGGAGACGTACTGTTAAGGCCCGGTCCACAGTTGAATTGATACATGGCCAATGTTCCGTCGATGAGGAAAGCCTGAAAATGGAAAACTATACTATAGTATCATTCTAGTAACGGATTTAATAGAGCCCATAAAATGCGTGTCACAAAATGAAGGAGCGAATTCTTTTCAGTTGCATCAGTGAGAAGATGAGTTCATGGGCGATCCCGCTACTCGAAAACAAACTGTACGGTCGCCTTCTGAGACAATTCTGTTATGTGTGAGTGAATGAGTGAGCACCTGTACAAGTGTGATAGTACCGATCCTTAAGAGCTTCCGGAAATGAGGATGGAAGTTATTAAAAACCTGATACCGTTTGCGCTCCCCTCAAGGTGTAGCAACTGCGTCGACTTCTAAGTGTCGCAAAGAACATATGCTGCCAAATTGGAGAAGGACGCGAACATGAGAGACCAGAAACAATTAGGGTGTAGGCTATGTTTAGGCATGGCTGCCCGTGCATGCCCGCGAGCGCGAGCGAAGAGACGAATGGCGAATGTTCCTATCGCATCTTTAGCGCTTGATCGCCTCCTTCACTGAGGCGAGTCTGTTATTGACGTGCTTCAGCGTGGACAAAGTCAGGAAAACGGCATCCGGGTAGCACTACCCTCTTGTTCCTGTGCAAGTGTTGATATCAGAAAGTATCAATCTACTGTAGCTGCACATAGCGATCTACTGTAGCTGCACACCCATTCACTTCGCATATGCAACGGACTAGGATTTTTTGTGCACTCACGGAGCTGACCAGCTGGTGAGTGTACAATTTGTCTCTGATAAATACTCTTACGAGAGTGGGATCACATCAGAATTCTCTTTTTTGCACAAAAAGTTCCTAACCATCTCAGCTCTCCATTAGGCTGAAATTCTCACCACCATCATGACAATTTCAGTTTTGTCCAGGAATCTATTAATGAGTGTCCTTATACTGGACTCGCGCGCCCTTTCATTCAGTCGTTCTCTTTAATTTTTGTGGCAACAAGGTAACTGTTATCATACGTTGTTCATATCAGTTCCTTTGATGAGTTCCTGGATCTGGAAGCATCCTCGATCGTTGCCCATACACCCATTGAAAAACTCCAACTGGCTACAATTTTGGTTGATTCGGCTACTCGGTTACGAAGTAGTGGTTATTAAGGACTAACTTGCACACGTTGAGCATGTTGGTGGTGTCTCCTGGTGTGAGTCCCCATTTGTACAGAAACCAATTGTATAACACTGTGTAGTCCTGAAATTCGATATGGGAGAATGTAAACATGAAGTGCTTGAACTGATAATCTTCATAACTTTTAGACACTCCCACGGCAGCTTAAGAGTTGGAACGTTCCCCCGTGTATTGGAGGGGAGGTCTGCAAAAGTATAGGGAGTGCCACTTCTGCCTTTCAGTGCGCGGTAAGACGGCAAGGTTCTTACGATGGCGAGGAAGCCGCGCCCATATTATGTATGAATGGGCCTTGAACCCAACGAGGTCTCTACTTCAGTAATCTCGCACGATCACGTGATAGCTCTATCTTTTCTGCTTGGTCTAGACCCTATACCCTACAGACAGTTAGAGGAAAGCGATTGTCAAAACATCTAAAGGTGTAAGAACATGAGGGAAACTAGGGGATGGCTTCTTCGGGTGGAGGGGACTACGGAGTAAGTGAATCATTCATCATGAAGCGAAAAGCTAGAAAAGGTGAAATCACAGTGTTTATAGAACGCCGTGCAGACAACAGACTGCAGAGACAAACAGAAAAGTGGCTCAATGAAAGGAACTAAGTTCAATCTGTCTGTAGACGGTTGTTCTTACTGGTCACTGGGCTTTGGGTGGCTTTTTCAGCTTTGTTATCCTTCGCTGATGAGCCCACTGACCGCGAGCAATTTCATGTTTCTTCTCCACAAGCCACGGCTAGCAATCGTGAGATAGGTCTCAACTCTTTTCCTATGTAGACGTGAAAAGAAACGCACAGCAAATTTTCCTCGACTCGCACAGGGACTCAAGCACTAGAGGTAAGAACAGATAGATCGAGTTAGATAATTACTTTGAACATCAATGCAGACGCTGTACTATTCAGTCCTAAACCATCGGCAAAAAGTGTTTGGCAGTACTGAAATTGTTTTGATCGGCATCCGAACTTTGATCCTGACGCAGCGACATGCGCGTCACTTGCAAAAAAAAAACACAATTAGCGTGGATATTGCAGCTTAACAGAGAGAATTATTTTTGAGATATCGTGTTCAAGTACTGACAGCAAGATGAAAGTAAATACTGCATGACGCAAGGCAACAGATCGTGACCGAAACGTATTACGCGTTGCTTCTCTTATCAGTGGTCATAAAAAGTTTCCCAACATCTAATAAATAAAAAAAAAAAAAAAAAAAAAAAAAAAAAAAAAAAAAAAAAAAAAAAAAAAAAAAAAAAAAAAAAAAAAAAAAAAAAAAAAAAAAAAAAAAAAAAAAAAAAAAAAAAAAAAAAAAAAAAAAAACACCGCGCGCGGAACCTAAAAAAAAAAAAAAAAAAAAAAAAAAAAAAAAAAAAAAAAAAAAAAAAAAAAAAAAAAAAAAAAAAAAAAAAAAAAAAAAAAAAAAAATCTTCGAAATTTCCAATAAATTATTCATTCCTAGGGATGTGGGAGTTCTAAACAACTTTTCCCAGGAATGTTTGCTGCTGAGCGTGTCTGTACATCACATCCAACGGTCTCGACTAAATGGCTAGGCGTTCAACGATTCCACCCCGATCCAACTATGATAAGCGAAGGAAGTCTTCGTCGCAGAGAATTTAAGCTAAAGACATTATTTTCAATGAGTGCAGTAGCACTTGAACAAATTTGATTGCTATCAATGAAGCTGTAGACCTTGCAATTCTTCCGGCCTCTGTGATTCTATTAACGTTTCTAGGACAATGTCAGCTTCGCTCGTTTTCCTGTATGGTGCCAAATGAAACTCTGTGCTGCACGCTGCTGCTACCAACGCTGCGGTTACTCCATGAACACCTGTCGACGGGCAACAAGAATTCAAACCTTTCAATCGCGTCACGTTTCTGATTTTCTGTGGGCTCTCACGCCTGCACTACATTTATGACTACTGTGACTTTACACATTGCAGCTTCTCACGATGATAGGTGGCTCACACCTCACAGTCATCTCTTCTATAAAAGCACATCCCGTGGCTCGCAACAGGTTTTCTGCATCTTTCAGATGCCTTGCCAGCCACAGTCCCGTATCTACTGGCTCCGTGGCCTTTCAAACCCCAAAAACTTCTAGTTGTCGCATAACCATCAACAACGTAGTTTACATGTAGGGACCGCCTCGCTCACACTGCCTAGGTCCTTCTCTTTCTCCGTTATTCTCCTAAAACACTAGCATCCAGCGCCGATCGTTCCTCGTTTGAGGACGCGTTCTCTTCTGTAGCAATGGAGCTCCATTGCAGCAGTAGAGCATCACTCTCGTCATCGCGAAGTTTGAACGGTGCTTGTGCCCAAACAATCACCTCGATCACCTGTGCTCCCGTTGATCATCGAGTTCCTCGAGCGGGCGCCAGTAACGTCTCCATTCGTCCCTGCAACGTGCAAGAGTTGCCCAATGGACTCTCTCTGCTCGAGGGACACGATGAACTTCATACCATTCGTTCAGAGCTTTCACGAAGAAGTCTGACCATCGCATAGGCGGTCGTCCAGGCGTTCGCTTGACATCCGTGGAATCCATCGGTTTAATAATCGCTCTTGGTCCAGCGGGCTCGTCTCGAAACACAGACGTGGTCCGGCCCACCTGATTTTCGAAACTTATGGCAAATTGCCGGCGGTTATGATCTTCGATCGGTCGGCCGGCCGCTGCGGGCTGGGATCCTCCCTTCTCTCACTTGCGTGTAGCGCGGGAACTCCGAGCATCGCCCTTTCAATGGCGCGTTGAATAACGCCAACCGCATGTTCATCCTGCTTTCGTAGAGTCCAAGTCTCTGAGGCGTACGTCAAGGCAGGAAGGACCGCGGAATCGAAGAGGTGGGCACGGAGCTTGGTGTTCTTCGTCTTCTTCGCTAATCCCTCAATGTTCTTTGATAACGCTCCCCTAGCGCTCGCTCAGTAAGTCGTTCATCATATTATTTCACGACCCAGTACACATAGCTGGAAAGCATCAGAATGGTTGCTCCGTTGCAGCGTGAATGGGGCCATCAGAATGCCAAGTCCGTTCATGAACATCGTCTTTCGTTAGATTCAGCCGTAGACCGATTTTTCCACACGCGCAGTCGAAATCAGCCAGCATTCGTTCCGCTTGCTCGATGTTTGGTGTTATCAAAACGATGTCGTCAGCAAGCGGAGATGGTGTAGTTGCCGACCGTCGATCTTCACTCCCATGTCTTCCCATTCCAGTTGACGCATGACGTTCTCGAGAGAGGCGCTGAAGAGCTTGGGCGAGATGGTGTCGCCCTGTCGGACCCCTCTCTTCACATCAATGATGATCTCCTGTAGAATGGTGAAATCTTGGCACGCTGACAGTTGCTTCAGAGACATCAGCGACAGAATCCGACTGACTTGTACTGAATTAGAATACCCTGGTTGCCGGTGATAACCGCTTCTGGTCTCACGGAGTCGAAGCTTTGCTTTCAAGTCGATGAACGTGAGACATAACGGCATCTTGTACTCTCGCGATACTTCAATGAGCTTCGTTACCGTGTGGATGTGATCAATCGTGCTGAATCCTCTTCGAAACCCTGCTTGCTCGCATGGCTGTCCTTCGTCTAGTGTTCTGCCAATCCTATTCAGGATGACTCGTGTGAAAAGTTTGTAGACTACAGACAGCAGGCAGATTGGGCGATAATTGCCAATGTCGTACACCGTCCTCCCTTTTCTCCCTTACTTGGTACAGCAACACAGTCTTGCTGGGTTTCTCGGGAACCAGTACCTTTTGTTAGGTATTTTCCGACAGGTAGCGCGTGAAGAGATCGATGGCCAGAGTTTATTTTTGACGCAGAACTGGCGGAAGTTTTTTAGACATGATTCAGCTCTGATCCCTGCTCCGCGGAATCGGGGCCGTACGTTCCCTCACAACGAAGATCGATGTCCGGACTTCGGAAACTTGAAGAACTGCCAGTGAACGACGTGTCCATCTTGCTCCGAAGCGGTATGTGGCAGATAGTGGGCCGTAGCTTTTCAAAACATCGAGTAGCACAGTCTTTGATGATCTCTCATTGCCCTTCTGGACTGCGGTTGATCGCTTCCGTCCGGAAGTCGTGAGGGCGGTCATCTTTGGTCTGCAATTAGGCGAAGTTTCGCGTTCGGTTTTGCGGATGCCATCTTTCCCCGCTCTGACGGCTTCCACAGTTACAGCTTGCCTCTTTTCATCTCCTTGAGGGAGTCTTCCTTTATCGCTTTACTCGAATTAGCTTCGGCAATTTCAGACGTCAGCTGGTAATTGCTGCGGGCTCGTGCGAACTTATCCGTTGGCGACTCAGCTCGAGGAGTTATCCAGAGATAAAATCGCTTCTTGTAATCTTGGAACCCTTTACTTCATGGCGCAGTCAGTGAAGGTCGTGCGGTACAACTTATTGTTGATGTTGTCGTTTATGATACCTCCCAGAGGCCCAGCCGAGAGTAATGTGAAGTGATCTACCAGTTGATGCACGACTTGGGGCTTGCCTGTCTTTGCAGGCTCTCTCTCCTCGCATCGAAAAGCGGAATCTTGCGCGAAGGAGACGATGGTCGGATCCCGTGTAGAACTTGGGAACAACAGCGACATCGGTCAGGCAAAACCTTCGATTGAAGATGATGTGGTCGATCTCATTATGGAATTGTCCACCAGGAGACTCCCATGTCCAGCGTAGAGAGTAGGGCTTCTGAACTGCGAGTTACCATGGATGGTATGGGTCGACATGATAAACTCAGACAGCCTTTCACCCTGCTCATTCCACTCCGTTCCGTGAGTTCCGATGTGAAGTTCTTCAGCCGTTCTTCTTGGTCCGATCTTAGCGTTGAAATCACCGACGATGACCTTGAAGAAGGTATGATCTTCCTTGTAGAACTTCTCCAATTCCATATAGAACGCTCGAGCTCCATTCTTTCTCCTCGGTGGCAGTGGGAATTAGGGAGACCATAACTGTTACTGTTTTCAGCGAGAAAGAAGTTCAACCACGCGTAGCTCGCCAGGCTCTGACGTGGCACCCTCCGCATTGGTACGTTTTTGGAACAGTCCAAAACCGTTCACCCCCACGCCACGATGAGGCTGCGGATAGGATTTGTGGGGGGGGGAGGGATTGCCAAACAATAAATCACATGTAATCCTCCTATCAATTCTGCCTCGTTTGCAGATCAAGCTTATCCGCTGTTGAATCCGGAAGCAGTAGGGTGTGGAAAAATGTTCATTAGAAGAATGAACTTGACACAACATATACAGCGGGCATTGTAAACCCCATGACAACATTGTTAAAGGCACGGTGCGCGATAAAAAGCCTAGGTGATGTTGCAGAAATGTGGGAGAAAATTCGCCAAGTCTATGAAGAGAAAATGCCAAAGGGAACGTTGGAAACGCATTCGTCAGGCCTCCTCTAGCCTCAAACAACTGTAGAGGTAAAAGACCGAAAAGACCGCGCGCTGGGACGATTCCCGTCGGCTGATTCCCAGTAATGAACCCTATGACTCTACAAGAGACATTGAATGCATCCACTCCATGATACTTGCCCGGGAGCATTACTTTTGGCTGGAAGGCCGACTTTGGAGGCGGAGTCTGGAGGCGGAGTCACTGGAAAAAGGGATGTACCACTGAAGCAACTTTGCGCCTTAATTCCTTTACCGTACAACTTTCCGCCGCGAAACTGGCACAGGGTTGTCCACTCCGGACCGCACTACCTTCCCACATACCTCTTGCATTTTCGTAGGTCATCGCGGACCGCTCCTTAAGGCGGCAAAGCCAGACTAGCTGCCCCTCACGATCAGGCAGTGGAGGTCAGGAGTCCACATTATTAATGACCACTACTTTTATGGCCTATCTAGCATCACCTGTACTCAGGTTCGCGATGGTCAATCTACCAAATAGTGATAAATCCTGATAGTTGCGTTGGAACAAATAGTCAGCCTGCTCGAAGGTAAGGGCTGCAAGGCGAATGGATTGCCCTCACAAAATCAGTTATTAGAGAAGAGGGAAAGGAAATGTGTTGAAGGTAACACACCTGTTTCTTCGATGGAACAAGGGTTGTTCTTATCGCCGTTTGCCCAGGCACACTATCTGCTTCATCAACCTCCGTGACTCGTAAGTCCATCCTTCGGATCGCACTACCTCCAGTTA